GGGGGGAGGGTGATAGAGCAGGCTGTGTTTGGCTGCACGCTGCAAGCAAAAGGGTGAATCCACCCAAACCACCACACTGAGACACTGTTTTTCCCAGGGAAATCCTGCTGCATGTGAGAACACCTGAGGCATTTCAGCTGGACACCTCTGTCTGATTTCATAAGCACTAAAAAAAGCAAGTTGTAATGTTCACCATAAGTATCACGTATTAAACCAAAATGCTTTAGCGCTATTCTGCATAATAAAAACTTGTATTTTGTCTGACACAGAACACAAAAAAATTGCCTTTTTTCTAAGTTCATTGAAAGGAGACTTGTCATTTGAAAGTACTGAAGAGACAAGTCATATAAATTATACTTCATTAGATGCACTTTTTTTTAATTGCATTACTGAAAGAGAATAATCAGACCCAGAACCATCAGTGCTGGTTCCCCCCCAAACATAATTATTCTATAAGATTCTCAGTATCCAAACCACAACAAATTGATAATGTAATAAATAGTTATATAAATGCAAAAATAATTGGGTTCTAAAATTGAACGTTTGTAAAACTAGCACACCTTGAATTGTCTACTATAACCATTACTTTATAGCTCGGTATTAGCATATATTTTCTAGTTATAGTTTAAAAAAATCACTCTGAAGTAACTTTGAAAAGCGTTGGATCGTGATCACATCTGGGTGCATCTGCCCACCAGCTGGAGCAGAAACTCACCTGTAGAGGGTGTGGAGGAAACAGCAGGGGGAGTTGGAGAGGTGAAGCCATCAGCAAGGGGCTGAGCTCCTGCAGCAGCAGCAGCAGCATCTGGGGCAGCGGAGGAAGGGGCAGGAGCAGGAGGAGTGGGGGCAGGAGCAGAGGTAGCAGGAAGGGGAGAGGTGCCAGCTGAGCCAGCAGGGGCTACGTGAAGAGAGGAGGAAGAGGTGGAGTTAATAAGGAGATATGTTAGCAAGGATTAGAGAAAGCCTTTGGCTATTCAGTGTTAGCTACTTATTAGATGCACAGTATTTCAGAATGCATGAGGAGATGACAGAAAAATGGAGCTGTTAAAGAAGGGCTCATTCCTACAGAGATGGTGAATGAGAGTCAAGCAAATCCACTACTTCCTTCCATGTCTGAAGGGAACAACTCAGAACTTTTCACTGAAAGCCATATTATTTGTGAAAGATGTCTTTACACCTTGTCATTTGTGCTTCAAATCTGTAGCATGGCTGCCTTTAGCTTTTGTATGAATTAGAAAATATACAGAAGAGGAAAGCCAAAAATTTCCAGTTCTTTGGTTCAGAAGCATCGTGTATTTCGTATCACACTGCAAGCCAACTATACACTCCTCTTAAAGGGCTGAGCAAAAGAAAAAGGAGGACTAATATTACTTCCTACTTCTGGAAAGACTGGGGCAATTACATTGAACAAGTGTCTTTTTATGACAACTCGAGTTGTCATAATGTACTAAAGATTCACTCTGTGCCTGCCCCTCATTTAATCTAATTTTATAAAAGCATACTTCTATGTATCTGCATGAACAGCCAATGAAAATGCATTTATTTGCTTAAAAGGACAAGGGAGAAGTTTCCCTGAGCCCACTGAAAAACATGTTCTGTCCTACCTAGTCACATGCAGGCAGACAGGCAAAAAATTCTGATAAATTAATATATAAAAGAAGCATTGGAGCACATCAGACACTCCCAGAAAAGATACTACTTGATTCAAACTCACACTATCAATAGCAAGCAATTTTCAAGGCTTGTGTGTTTCTGGATAATGAACTTTGAGACTTCTCTTGGGGTTTACTCAGCACTGTGTTTAGGAGACTTGCAAATGCCAAAGGTTAATACTGAGTCAGAAGAAGGAACAGCAAGTTTCCATTTACCTGGATAGACATTGGGAGGAGATGGCGTGGGAACAGCAATAGGAACACCCACACTTCCACTTCCACTGTTCTCTCGACTGCTGCTCCGACTACTTGGGTGGCTTCCTCCACTACTCCCACTGCTGCTGTAAGAAACCGAAATAACCCAGGGTATGAATATGCTGAAACATAAGTTCCCTCATATAGCACCTTACTAAGTCAGACAAGTAACAGGGAACAAGAGAAGAGAAACATGGATGATATAAACCCATTGTGGGAATATAACGGAAGATTGGTGAGGAGGACTCTAAACACACTCAAGTGACTTGCACCTAGGGTGTCAAAAACCACATATATCAAGGCCACTAATTGTTGTGCTTGACAAGTAGAGCATCTGCATTCAGATAACACAGGCTTGTGATAGACTCAAGGGCACCATATCAAACATGCTTGAGATTCCTGCCCTGCTGTGAGAAAGATCAAAGCACAGAGGAAAACTACAGCCTGTGAAAAGAAATCCTTACCCTGATATACACAGGCAAAAGCAGCAGGTTAGGAATCTCTCACTCTAGCAAGGACCAAGCTCTTGTGGTCCCACTTACGTGCCTCTGCCCCAGGTGCTGCTTCAGAGATCCCTCGGTTCACAAAGGAACAAGAATAAATCTGCTTTTTGCATTTTATCCATGGTTTTGTGGTTGTTCCTGCATCCTGTCTGTGTTGGCTCACAAACCTTCATATAAAGCTCAGTTTTCCTAAAACTCTTCACTTTGACTACAACACAACAGGTTTTTCAGTTAGTCTTAGTGAACTTGCCTCAAAATGAAACACTCCCAGAACTTTGTTCCAAAGCACGTCATTCGGATATCATTAAATCCCTACTGAGCAAATACAGACCTTTCTCTTATAACCTGTAAAACACGTAGACTGCTTAGACTCTGATTTATATGCTTTTACATGAGACTACTGAAATCTGGAACTTGTGAGATAGTAAAGTAAAAGTCAGGTGTTCCTGTATTTTAAATCCAACTGTTTTAGCCATCCTCAAGTACTTATGATGTTTAAAAAGGAAAGATTTCAAGGGAAGTAATTAAGCCTATCACACCACGAAATAGTATCCTAGAGAAAAGGCTAGCCCTCTGCAGAGCCTTTGGTAATAAAGTTCCGCTTTACTCTGTGTTTGAAGTTATCAGTATCCTCAAAATACAATGCCCTTTTTCAGCGACTCCATCTATAAACATCAAAGACTGTTCAAACAAAAACGTGAACTATAAGCATACTATACAGTTCTTCAACATGTAGAAGTCAAGTTGCATACAGTCTTTTCCCAGTTGTGTAAGCATTTCATACAATAATATCATGATCTACCTACTTGGAAGACATCACAATTTTACTAATTCTTTAAGGATTGTAACTAAGTGATAGCACTAAAATTAAGATGACTAGGGGACAATCTTAACATGATTCACCATTCTGTTTTTATTAGAGTGCATTCTCGTCATGCCAAATGACATTCCCAGTCCATATCATGAATTAGCAAGCACCACTGTAGAGGTGCAGATGGATTGGTATTTATTATAGCATTTTTTGTCTCTATGCTTACATAATACTAACCACATTTTGTACAGGACTACACTCAATACCTGTATGTGCGATTCCTCTGATTCACAGAAGCTGTTCTAACAGGGCTCTGTTGTGAGGGAGCCATATTGCGTGTTGGGCTAGGCACGTAGTCATTTGGTACCACTGGAGGACGTACTGGCTCCAACGTACGATAGGGAGAGTGACGCCTACACAAGGACAAACATATTTCAGAAACATATTAAGATAATACAGACAAAACCAAAGATTTTTCATTATTTAAGATACAGCGACATACTAATCACTAACAGGAACTAAAAAAAAGACATTTTTCTGTAAGTTTGCTACTTCATAGGATAAGAAAAAAAAAAATAAGGATGTTCTTTGTGAAACTTTGTGATGAAACTTCAGTTTCCAGATGCTTTTCCTATTCCTTTTCTGTGTTGCATATCATATTCTTGTTTTAAAAGTAATCCATATTTTGTTTTAAAATAAAGCACCATGGTCTGTATGTATATACATAATCACATCATCCCATTTATAACACATTTTCCTAAGGTCAAAGTAAAGTTCATAGGCTTAATAGGAAAGTACTTTTATCACACATAGCACAAATAATTAATGAACAGTGCCACATACTAATTTTCCAGTTGTTTAGCACCACCTGTCAAAGCCACCCAGTTAATGATTTTCTACTCTAAAGCATGTAGTTTTAAGTGTTCTGCAATGATAAAGAGGTTCCTGTTGGGAAAGACTAATGATGCCCACTGTCTTCTGGCATAAAAGTGTTAACTGATATATAAGACATGATCAGTATAAGAGGATGTGACACAACACCTCTTGACCTTTGTGAATAGTTAAAACAAAACGCCAAAAACCCTACACTATAGAAAAATAAAATCTTCCCTTTTTTTCCCCTCTGGTCACTGAAGCCATTTACACATTCGGTAACTGCACTCACCCAATAGTTCCTTTTCCCGACATTGGTGGACTTGGTGGCTTCTGGGTGGGTGGTGTTGTACGAGGCAGCCCACCCATCTTCATATTCTGTGTGCTGACCTGCATGAAAGAACGGGGAGAAAAATGGCCTTCACTAAGCTCAGCTTCTAGGGAGACAGAAACTGAGATGCCTTTAGCAATTAACTCTAAGTAGGGGAAGGTTTAAAAGAACAAAAAAATTGAGAGGCCATGCATCTTATATGCAATTTCAACTCTGCTAGAATTCAAGGAGTTGTGCTCAAAGGACTCTTTATTACATAGGTTTTTTTTAAATTGTATATACAAAAAGTGAATTTGCCTTTAGGCTATGACATAAACATTAAATCACTGACAATACAGACACTGTATCTAACTTGGTTAAACCTCCCAGTCATCTTTTGCAATAAAGGTGCTTATTTCAGGTTGCAAAAATATTTTTGAAAAAATACTACGGTTCATCTAATAGGCCACAATTTAATATAATTCATGCAAATATGGAGAAGTCAAAGTAATTTCCAAATATGATCCGCTAATGTCTCAAATGTTTTCACAGTATGATATCAATTTTTTTAAAAGATATTTATTGTAAATGTTATTTATGTATAGGTAAACATAGAAAGCTATATGAGGAAAAAATATGAAGACGTACTTTTTTCACCCACCAAATCTGTACCAATTTAATCTCTAAGAACTGATAAATAAATGGACAGGGAGAAAAATTTAGCTGTGATGTAATTGTGGTTGTCCTCTCCACCTCTTTCAGGTTAAAATATCAATGAAGTAACTTTTATATAAAAGAATTTAACTTCTTTTAAAAAAAACTCATCTGTATTCCTGACCGATTCATCAATCTAGGAATCATAAACAATTGTTACCAATGTAGGCCTTTTGCTTATCTGTATACTGCCAGCCAAGCATAACTCTCTCAAGCCTTACAGGAACCAGTACATGGTCTTCTTACAAGTCTCTGTTAAACAGCCTTGATTTAGTAACGCTCAAACTATTGCTTAGGCAGAGAGATATTCAACAAAGCTAAATAATTATGCTTACATTCCTTTTTCTGTTGTTCCTGTCACGCTATATTTTACAGTGTTTCTTATTTCCAAAACGTAAGTCTTGCCTTTGCCCCCACGTCCCTTATAAAAAAAGGCACAGCAATGGAGGCATTGAGAGTATTTGCAAACATCATTAAAGGCAAATTACTTCTTTAAATTTTTACTATAACAACTTGCTTAAAACCCTGGCAATGTTTAGATTTGTGCATTGATAAATACTGAGAACCATGTAAAGAGTAGTATATTCTGTATTGTAATCCAGATTACAATAAAACTTGATTCCCTAGCTCTAAATAATCCCAGTGCTATCATATTTTCAATCTGCTGGGAGGAAAAGAAAACAAAGTGTTGGAAGGGAGGTTTTTTTGTCAGATTCAAAACCAGATGTTTGGATTTAGTTGTAAAAGAGTACTCTGTAATATCGATTTAAGATAAAATTATTTTGCACAGCATTATGAAGTCCTTTAAGCCAACTCTAAGCAACAAGAAATCTAAAGTTAATTCAAGTAAGGAATGAGGTAAGCACTGAACTACAACTACTTGAAGGGAAGAGGGAAAGTGTAAAATGAAGTATATTTTATTCTATACACGGAACATTAAGAAATAGCACAAAATCTGATGGGTTTTTTTAAGTTGCAGCACCCCCTGTATTTCCTCTTTCATTGAAGACACCTGTTTCACCCACCTACCTATTTGAGTTGTCAAAAAAACCACAAACAAGCAAAAACCATCCACCCTAACCTAACACTCGCTGCACTGTCACTTGCTGTATTTCAGACAGCCCATTAAGCATAGTGGAACAGGGGCTCTGGATGTCTTTAGATGACAACAAACTTATACCAATCTGTGTGCCCCTGAATAGTCCATTTAGGTGTTTTAAGTAGCTACACTATTGTTTCTTGATGATGTAACCACTAGCTATTGCTTTACAGTTAACATAAAATTCCAAATATTTAACCATAAAGAATCTTATTATTTGTATACAATTATTGCAGGAACAAAAATAAAGTTTTAGGCTTCCATTGCATTAGATCTACTGAAAAGAAAGGACAGTAGAGTAGAGGATGTAGTGACATCACACAGTATGCAATAAGAAGTGGAAGTAATATTTGCCTGATGAATGGTGAACTCCAGTGATTGCTACTTACATTTCATTAACAGTGTGAATAAACACATCCTTGACATAGAATGGGAAGAAAGCTTTAGAAAATGTGGCCAAATAAAAAGTGATCCTTTTTTAGCCAAGAAATTTTAGCCACAAAGAAGCCATCTTAAGAAAGACTAAACTGAAAGATGGGGAAATGCACTGACAGTAAGCTTCATTTCAGGATCTTTGAAATGACTTTTCAACACTGAAATCGAAAAGTTGAAAGAGCAAGTAATTAAAGATTACAGGGCTGTCTTCAAATCTGACAGAATTGATGGCTTTCAGATTATCTACTGTAAGTTAAACAACCCTAAATGAGTAACTGCCCCTTTGACTTATGGTGAATTATTTGGCTATGGCTTTAAGACATGATATTGGACTGACAAGAGCCCTTAGACTATGATCATTTTAAGTTTATTTTTTTTTAATCATTAAGACTTATTTGTCCAATTTCTATCTTTGGCAAGTTGTTTTTCCATAGATCCCAGTGATTAAATCACCCTCTTATGGTCCTACATATGACTTAAGTTTCCTTCATAGTTACATTTTTAGAAGCATTTAACAGGTTGAGCTTCTTTAGCACTCCACTGTATAAGAAAACTGTAGTAAAATAAACTGGTTAAAACTGAGAAATACTGCAGTTCATTAAATTCAATTCTTGCAAATGTTTTCATGAGCAAAAAAGTTCACCGAACAAAAAGTACAGAAATATATAGTTGTTCAGATACAAGAGATGGTCATCAGATGTGCAAAAACTATTTGCACCAATGCACTGTGTATTTACGTGGCTGTGAGGCACTTACCTGCAACAAAGATTTCAATGCATATTTTTACTCTTCTGAAGAACATGTCATTGTCAGTTCAATTACCAAAACAAAGTGGGGACTTTTTTTTTCCCCACAAAAATTTGGAATACCAGATATTCCATTCAATCAAACCTCAGGAGGAGGTACTTTCTAAAGACAAAGTTGGATTCAGACCAGAAATTTTTAAGTGGTATGTTATGGTCAAACTGGATTTTCTGTAACTTTCAGGATGTCAAGAGAATCATCTTTTGCCCAAAACCTATTAAGAAAGTGTCTCATCAGAGATGTTCCATGGATTATATTCAGGAACTTCAAGTAGCTACTCAGCCTTCTTCAGCAACTTTATACCTGACTCCAGCAAAAACAACCTAAGGCTGAATGAAAACTACCTTTGCCATGCCTTGCTTCGTCTTGTTAACGCTACACAGAGGATGAACAGATTTTTGGCCCATCATCTGCTACATCAAAGTAAATTCCTTTTCAGGCTGTGCTCAGCCACTTGAATACTTACTCTGCATGTCTAATTAAACCATATGTTTGTCAGTTCATTAACCAGTTGATATGGAACTGAAATGTCTGAATTTCAACCCTGTCTTGGCAAATAAACACAAACAGAAGCTTCTGCAAGTGAGTTTACTTGTTTTTACCACATCCGCCTACACAAAGTAATTGAAGAACCAAGTCTGGTAAATACAAAAAGGCTTAAACAATATCATTTTCAACTGATTTCCTAACAGGAGATACTACAGATATTCCTTGTTGTTGGAATTTTCTTCAAAATCTGTTTAATATTTAAATTCAAGCAACCCAGAGACAAGCACAGTCAGCCTTGCTACAGTCAGTCAGTTTAATATTGTGACTTGTGACTGTTAGCTAAGAGTAAGGTTTCTTTGCAGCCATGAAAAATAAACGCAGTCTAAACACTTCATATCCAATCTCTCCTAAGTGAAGTAAAATTATTATTCACACAGAACTAGGGTTAGTAGCCGCCTTTTAGTTTTCTTCTTTTAAGCTGATGTACAGTGACTACAGTGAGACTTAAAGAATAACTTTATGTCCACTGAGAGGTGCTGCACTGCCTTTTTTTTTTTCAGAGGTGGGGGGAAGGGGGGCAATGAGAAGTTGATTGACATACTGTGATTTCCCAAATAAAATTTCTGATCTAGTAAAAACAAAGAAATATTTTAACTGGTGTTATAACAAAAAGATGTTATTTTCATTCAAGCCTATAAATAGAAAAAAATTTTCTCTGAAAAGCTGAAGAGACTCATTACCACTGCAGATGATGCACAGATATGGCAGTTTACACATATTCTACAATTATATATATATATTTTTTTATCATTACTTGTTTATATCTGCAACTGCAGAGAGCAATAAAGAAAACCAACTTTGCAAATTGTTTTTTTAAGATCACTGAGAAAACCATCGTCCAATATGAACTGCACCCAGAATAAGGCATATTCAGCATTAGAAGTACCCATTTTGCACAGACAGACAGACAGACAAAGAGCCAAGGAGGAGATTTATTTTGCAGTTCTCAAATAAAACGCATTTAAACACTATGTGACTTGAACCTCACACACTCATGTAAAAATACATTTCAAATGACATGCAAGAAATCTCTCATTTATTAAACATATTCCATTGTGATCAGATGTGTGACATACACTTAAATACCTTACTAAAAGTACCACCTGGTCAATTCCATAGGGACATCATTGGGATATCTACAGTAACACCTAGTTTTACATGCAATCTTTTCAGGAATGTGCAGGATTTTATTTTAGCTTTTTCCAGTCATGGAAAATACTTAGACATGAAAAATATTTCCCATCAACTTGGAACTTCATTTAATTAATATACTCACACCACATACTAGTATTCTATGTTCTAAAACACAGCTCCCTCTCTAAAATTGTGGTGGCTGCTACTAGAAAACTTTAATTCCCATTCTTCCTCAAACCAGCTGCACTTCAGGAGGATGATGCTATCACAATACTCAATAAAGGCTATAAGCTATCTATTAATTAATGTGCTATGAACCCCAACATAGTACCATGTAAGTTCATTTAACTGCTTTTCTAATTGATTTGATACTTTTTATTGCTACTTCTGCAGCCACTAAGGCTACTAACAATTAAACCTCTTCAAGATCCTTGAGAATTTGACATCAGTATGAGTTCTTTGATGCCCTATTAATTTAATATTCAAGTAAATAAATCACTTGTTGTTTAAGAGTTATTAAACGTTTTACACAACTACCAAATTTATGAAAATTTCCGTATCTGAATGCCTCTCAGCTTTTAATAGTGCTAGCAGTTTCTGAAAAACTTGAGGATACTGCAACTTTAAAAAAACAATATACAGATTTTAATGTTACACACCTTTGAAGCCCATTATCTGAGCAATCTCACACTGAAACATTAATCCCAATCAAATCATAACTTACACCGTGTATAGGATAAAAAGAATATTACACGGGGGGAGGCTTATATTCAGCTGCAATGCACTGTATTTTTTTGTCTACATAACATTAGCACATTTCTCCCTTTTAAATGATCTGGTAGATATGCTGAAGGCAGTCAATATTTTGCCATAAAGCTTTTAAAATTAACTGTATTCGCTTCCTTACATAAATACAGCAATTTATATTAAAAAAAAGTTTATCTGCAATGAAATCATTCAATGGAAGGTCTGATAGACAGGAGGGAGAGCAGGTGTTGTTTTAAAAAGTCAGTAACATTCATGTTAATCATCTCCCCATGTGTAATAGTCTCAGAAGAATAAGAATGGAAATCCAGCCCTGGGGTTTCTTACCTTAAATCTAAGCAACCACTTAATGCATAAATGGAGCAAATAAAAGAGGTAAGGAAAAAAAGCATTGAAAGGTTAGTTGGAACTTCAGGATATGAAGAGAAAGGAAAAAGAAAGAAAAAAGTTAAGCATTCAGCATTAACAAAATAATGTATCAGTAGATCATAGAAAGAGTGGTTAAAGCAGAATGTGTCATGAATAAAAGATTTTCAAGCTGAAACTTTTAATATACATTAATCACAAAGCCTTTAGATTAACACCTTAAAATTAATGCTCAAATGTTTGTATACTGTTTATTCAAGTTCTTACAGTGCTAATAAAAACTCAGCTTCCTTCAGAATGGAACATGAGATCTAGATGGATTAACTTCAGAGATTAATTTACTTGAGCTGTCAAAAAATAGCCTTATCAATACCCTGAGCTCATTTAAACTGTTACATGTATTAGCATATTTACAACTAGCTGAAACAGAAGCCTCTAGAATATGAAGACAATACATGTTCTTTCCTAGACAATGCTCTTAATTAACTCTTAACCTGATGCTGTGAGATATCTCTTGAACAAAGATCAAGAGCAAATAATTAAGTCTTGTAAAAAGTACAGCAATCTATATGGCTACTTCAGCACATATGAGCATTTTCTGAACTATATATTAAGACATTAACCAAGAGTGAAATCTTATTTTAAAGTCTAAGTGCTAGCTTTGTGACATCTTACATCTACGTTTTACTGTCACAATACCATGTATCTTTTTTCCCTATAATAATTTTTTTAAAAAATACTAGTCCTTCCATTTGAATATCATTTCATTTGTTTTCAGTTCAGCTAATCTAAATGTATCATTACACTTTTTGTAATACCGAACAAGATATGCAGAATCTCAAGAGTGGAGCATCCAGAGGGATTACTCCATTTTATCCATTTAGATCATAAGTAGACCCTTAATGTATTACAAAAGAAACATAATCTGTTTTACTAGAAAATCTCCTGTCTTCAAGTTTAAAATTACATGGAACTATTAACCAAAACCATCTCTGCTTCACACAGCTACACTGGAAAATCAGGTCTCTCTGTACTGGCCAGACAGAGTGGCCAGTTACATGAGAGGGTCATGAGCTGAGACCTTTTCTGCAGCAGCACTGCCTGATAATTACAGTGCTTTAATGCACACCACTTTGAATGGATCAAGCTTTCTTTTTTTCATCCCCTTGACTAAAGAACTCTTTAGAGGGAAGAACAGATTTGAAGACTTAGTAACTCAGGAAACATTTGAAAAAATTGAGAGCAAGTCTCTTTCAGACAAAAGGTTCTTCAGATTTTTGCAGTATTGTCACTACAGGGAGGGCAGATGAGGAGGGACTGCTGGAATAATATAGTGGCACTTAAATTCTCTCTCACATATTAAGAAACGATATTGTAGAGCACTTTTTCCTGAAGATGGTATCCATTGATGCTTCGAATTTCTGAATGGAAGGAATAGGTGCTCAAGTGGCTATACTACTTCTCTCAAGATGGCATACTGCATTTCTTGGCCAAGGATGCTCCCTTTTTCTCCTATTTTCTTCTATTATTCTCTGTCCAGTTTCTCATCTTTCTCAGGGGTTGCAAGGAATGCTTGCTGCTCTTTGATTGTCCTGACAATGCATAGGTCTGGGTTCAAGTACTAGAGGAGAAGCCCTTTAGCAGAGAAAGCAGAAACGAGGACAAAGAATGCAGACTGAGGCACCCTGATGCTAACTGGAACTTTAATGCTATTTATCCAGTAACTCCTTCTGAATACTCATTTCAAGGGAAAAATGCTACAGCTCAAACAATAAAGAGCTATTAAAAGGCAAATTTAAAGCTCCTACTCTTTTTCTTTTTTTCTCTTTGTTCTCCAGCCAGAGTTCTAGTAAACTAATCTGTAGTTTACTAGAACTGCTGTTCAAGCAGAACAAAAACAACAGGTTCATAAGCACAACTGGCCACTTTCTCCGCATCAGCAAGACAGTTCCTTCTTCTGCGCTGAACGCACCCTGACTGGAACAGATCTAGGGATCTTAATGTTAAGGATAGCATGATGTCAAGCTCTCTGCTTATTGTTTCACAAGTACAAATACTTTTTCATTTTCTACATAAATATAGTACATCATAAATACAATTTGTAAGATGTTTCAAGCTCATCACAAGCATAACAAATGGATGCAAATACACATTTGAGTCGTCATCCATTTGATGAACTATGTTCTTTCAGAAGAACGTAATTCATTGCATCACAGTGAGTATGATTCTGCTACATTGAGGTAAGTGGAATACCAATTATAATGGTTTAGAGTCAGTGCTAAGTAAGATTGTGCTGCAGAGCAATTAAAATCTATTCTTTAATGAGTTCTAGAATAATCTCATTAAAACAAAAGTGATCATTAAAATATTAGCAACAGTAATCCTACAGGTTAATATGCTCCATCCATATCCAGAAGGAGTTCTGCTGACCTGCATAAATTCAAAATATATAAGAATTAGCAGTAAATTTGAACACAAGACTGATAATAATTTTCTGGTCAAAAATGCAGCTATTAATGCTGGGGGATTTTTTGTTTGGTTTGGTTTTCCAAATCAAGCTTAAAGAGTCGCTTGTCTTTTAAAAATCTGTTTAGGGTTACAAACTGAGGCTGACTCTTTTGGTAAGAAATGGGGAAAAAAGACTTTCTGTTAATGAACAGGATGCTAAGAAGACCTCGGGTAAAAAGAGCTTGGGAAAGATATTTAAATACCACTGTTCAGAATCTGAATTTTAAGAGTTTGGTTAAACAACCTAGTGCCTTTTAAATGGCTACCCAAACAGAGAGTTCAAATGGAACAACATAGATAACCTAATGCAGTTAGGTGTCAAGCAAAAGAAATTCTGGTGTACTTCGACTGGAAGAAGCATCTTACCTTACTGCTGCTTAGCAGGTTTACAGATTTGTTAGTTTGTCATGTAAAAAATGACACCAATTTGTGTTATTTACCTTTCTTCTCCCGGAACTTTAACACTGTCAGTGTTCTTATTTCCGTATTTGTTTTCCTGGCAGCACAAGTTAACAATGAGCTCGCACCTGCTGAGACTGTTTACATTCAGGATGTGCTTTTAAAAAGTGCATATCTCATCTCACACATGATACTACTGCTGTTGTGCATGCTGATCTAACACTTGCACACAACAGCCACCAGTTGTGTCTCAGTCTGATCTTTGCCCTGAAATTCCTCCTTTTTTCCTAATCTTAAAAAGGAGAACCAGGTGGCTTCAAACTTGGCAGCAATATTCCCATCCTGAAACCCCATATGGCACAAAAGTTTTAGAGAGCCCACTTTAACAAAGCACAACACAAGATATGGGTATAACTGAAAGAAAGAAGAAAAGGGAGCATATAACACTTCTTATGCAAACCCTTTCTTTGGGTGAGCTTCAAAGTAAACCAGTTGCAATTACAGCTGGATCATACTTTGTGGTGCTAGTTCAGGCAGAAAAGTGATGGTCATTAGCCTTCCAGTCCTCAGCTAATATCCCTGGCAACTGATTCAGACAATAACAGCAGCATCACATAAGTAGGTATTCAGAAGCATTTTAAAAGGTGAGACCCATAGTCTCGGATAACCTCAGAAATAAGATTCACTGGCTTTGCAAGTTTTAGAAACACTGGGGCAAGTAAACAGGTAGGGGCAACTGCAAACTGGACTCCTCTTATGTTTACAGACACACTGGCCAGGCAAGGAGAAACTGGTATATTGCCATGAAAAATATCAAGTTATTTTGAAAACAGACAAAGACAAGGTATTTGCAGTTTGGCTGTTTTAACAATATCACCTACCTTCACTCCATGTCCAATATCATCTAGAATTGTATAATCAATAGGTTTCCTGATGTAGCGAACTGGTCGCTCCAAGTTAGCTGGTGCAATGATTTTGTGAGTTCTTGAGGTGTTTTTGTTTGTAGTCAAGATACCAATTTCTCTTCTAGCAACTTTCTCTTTGTGAATGTCCACCGTCTACAAAAGACGCAGTGTATTTACTAACAGTGGTATGCATTTGAATACAGAGGCAGTATAAAAAAAAAAAAAAATTGAATCAATTCCAACGTTTTGAAGATCTGTGTATACTGTCCTAAACATATCACTACACATACATGATTACATCATCTTTGTTCAATTTACTGTTGAACTTGCCACCTCTAAACCCACACTGACAGCCACAGGTTCTTACGGTTTTCTGTTATTCTCATTCTTCACAGTTCAGCAAAATTCCTTGTCCTTACCATTCTTAGTAGTTCCCATTAATAACTGACACTGTTTTATATGATTCTTTCAATTACACTTTATAATTTTACAACTGCTCTCTAAGCTTGTCTTTGTAATAGTCTCCAGCTAGATGAAGTGTAAGAATACATTCCCAAACCTTAGCTTTTATGATCTGAAAAACAAACCATAAGCAGGTTTTCTTACACTGGTAGTCATATCCTAGAATGAAATTTTACGCAGACAAATCAACAAGGTATTTCAGTCATTACTCATCACTCATCACAAAGCAATGATTAGATTTTAGAAGTTGCTCAGTACTAATTTGTGCACAGCTAAGCTAGTGGTTAAGCAGAGTGCCTTCACTTAGAATGCCTAAGGCCAACACTGAAAATCCCTCTCTCCACATACTACAATGAGTATCACAGGAGAATCTCCGGTGTAAGACAAAGCCCTGCTAAAAATTCATTGCCTAAAAACATGTACTTGAATCTTGTTTGGTAAAAAGACTTAGAAAAAGCTACCAAAAAGTCTATCTAACCCTTCCAGGAAAATAAAATCTCTTAAATCATGGTGCAGAGTTGCTTGCATCCTTTAAAAAAAAAAAAAAAAAAAAAAAATCCTGCTCACAAAACAGCTTTCCATATAGGAAATTTGCCACAGTGTCACAGTTGTGAACAAGCATTTTAGTTACAGGGTAAAAAAAAAAAAAAAGGTAAGAAAACAGGCAGAATCACCACCATTAGGATTTCTAAACATGCACAGGATTTCTTGTTACCACTTTAGTGATTACGAATGGTACCAGAAAGACTTTTCACAGTTAGTAGACAGGCTCTGTAGTAACTAAGGAACAGGTACAAATGAGAACTCATTTTAATAACACATTTTCTTAAATTTTTTTTTCCTATGGGCAAGGATTGGGGCAGTGGGGTTGGCTACACTGTTTTACCTTTTTCTTTGTGCTACTGATAGCAAAACAAGTAAAATGGGCCCTGTACTACCTTGTGCAATCACCACCACCTTTAAAACTACAAAAATTTAAAGAAAATCAACACAAGAAGTTGTTTCTTCACATTCTTTCCAGAGAAGAATTTCTACAAATACCAGGGGCATTATATGGAAGCTAAATTTACTGTCTATCAAGATTATCTAGTATTTCCCAGCAACATATTTTCAAGATCTTGCAACTTCGCTAAAATTAAGCACTGAATACAGCTTTATCATGTACATTTCTGCTACCTCTAGTACCACCTGCCTAGAACTGTAAGGGTTCTACTAAAGATGCAGAGCTATTTCTTAAAACAAAGCTACAGAGAAATAAATTATTCAAGGTCAAAATATGCTGGCAACCCTCTCTTTGGAAAGCTCGAGTTTGCTGAGGAATGATTTGAAATGTAATAGGGGTAGTTAAACTATCTGGGACACATCCTCAATCACCCTCACAGAAACCCACCCGGATCTGGCCAATGTATAAACTCTGTTGAAATTCACGGTTCATACAAGCTTAACAGAAACACATATATTTCTACAGCTACTTAACAACTAAACCACTCTCCAACCAATTTTGCCAAAGCCCTTCCTGAAGCTCCCTGCGATGACCAGGTCTATATACCATCCCCCCAAAAAACAGTGCAGATCAGATCCTCACAGCTCTTACGATATTATTGATTGCACAAGCACCAGTGCAAACACGGCACATAAACATGTTCCAGGCCAGAGTACCAAAAGTGTACCATTCTGCATCAGGGTAAGATTCAATATTTTATCTTTCATCACAAGCTTCCATCGCTTCTCTGTGCCAGGCTTTCGCTTTTGGAGCACAGTGGAAGGACTAGTTCTGGAACAAGTAGCAGTCATCCCAAAGAGATCGTCTACAGAACTCTCACCTCATCTGTTGAGGAGTTAGAAAGCACATACTTTTTTGATAAACTAATCACATGTGACTGCAACAACTTGGAGGACAGTCTCATGTTTAATGCCACTAAAGAATTCAATTTCTACCATTATCTCAGACTTCATCTGTGATCTAGACATGTCACTAGAGAACATTACACTGACTCTTGTGTGCTCTTTGTCTCACAGGCTTCTGATACCATTGGCTAGAATGTTAAACAACCTCAGCTGCGACACCAACTGCACCTCAAATGCTGTATGATGTTTCAAAAGTACTGAAACATCAAAATCTTATGGGTCTGAATCTGGTCATTCAAAACTGGTTTATGCCATGAACACTGTGCTCTCAGAGCCTTAATTTCAATCTACAAATCAGAAAGAAAGTAAATTAATTACTGCAGTGTTGGCAAGATTATTTCTTCCTTTCTCTGCATTTCAAGTGCTTGACCTCTGCAACTTTAAAGATGTTCTGTTAGTATTTTCCTATCCAATTACCTACAAATACAATGTGAGCACAGATATTTAATGCACATGCTATTATAGCAATGGTATCTTGGCACTGTGGATGTTTTTATGAATGAAAACTGTGGTTTTTTAATTATTCATAGGAGTTGTGAGTACAAGTGGTTTTCTTATGGACTATGGTGATCAGTGAGGCATGACTACAGTAACAAACAATTAAATGCATAAAACCTAATCAAAACCTGAAGCTCATCTCATAGGAATTCTCTTGCATGATGATTCAGAATATCTCTTTTAGCTTGAATAGCTATGGAATGACTGGGAGTATAAAAACAGCACCTAATTCTGGTACATACTCGTAAAATTGTATTGAAAAGCATTTTGCTGGCAGGTTTTTAAAAAATTTCATTTTCTTGCTTAGTAGACTACTGGAGTCATAAGATCTTAAGACACCTATAAAACAGCAGAAAGGAACATTGAGGTATTTGCTTAGTAGAGAAAGGAACACAGATTAACCTGCTACTAAAGAAAATGAAAACATTTATCCTCAACTCACAGGCAATTATTGCCTCCAGTACTAGCATAAATCCCTTAAGTGAGACAGGAGAATGCAAGCAGAATGTTTATTCAGCAGTTTAGAAACTTCTACTGAGAAGTTCTGGGGGTTAGTGCTGGACTAACAAAACACCTGGCTTGAAAAGTCTGTCAGGAAAAGCAGATGGGATACATTGTGCCCTTCTATAACTTAAATCAGTGTTTTCTAACAAGAAATTTCAGACCCCCGACAGCATTATGACACATTTTTCCCCACAACTCCATCACCTTTGGCAAAAGCTTTTAAATTACAGTTTGTTAGAGGTTATGCTCATTACTATCATCTTTTCAAATGCTTTCCAAGATGCCTGCAATAAGCTTAAGGGGGGAGGGGAAAAGTATAAACCATTGCATTTTTTTCCTATTAGGAATTTTCTGGACATTTTGAAACATCAAGTTTCCATACCAAATTCAATTAAATTAGCCTGAAGATCTGTAAAGCTTAAAATAGAAAAAACATTAAACCATTTCTGAGATTCCAAAGTTAACACTATTTACCACTTCACTTGGAAGTCACTGAACTCAGAGTTTTGAGAAGTATTCTCTTCTACTGTAAGTGACATTTCTTGAATATGTGCTGAAAACAGCACTGATAACACAGGGATGTTTTAGTTACTGCTGAGCAGTGCTTACACAGAGTCAAGGCCTTTTCTGCTCCTCACACCCCCCCATCAGCAAGTAGGTTGGGGGCGCACAAGAAGCTGGGAGGGGACACAGCTGGGACAGCTGACCCCAACTGACCACAGGGATATTCCAGACCATATGACATCATGCTCAGCATATAAAGCTGGGAGGAGGTTGGCAGGGGGGCTGCTGCTCAGGGACTGGCAGGGAATCAGTTGGTTGGTGGTGAGGAATTGTTTTCATTTGCATCACTTCTCTTTTTGGGTTTTATTTCTCTTTGTCATTTTCCTTTTCATTACAATTATTACTATTATTATTATATTTCAATTATTAAACTGTTTTTTCCTTAAATCACAAGTTTTCTCACTGTAACTCCTCTGAGTCTCTCCCCACAACCTGCTGGAGGGGAAGTAAGCAAGTGGCTGCATGGTGCTTAGTTGCTAGCTGGGGTTAAACCACAACAGCACTTTGAAAGTCTAAACTGTAGTGAAATTTCGGAAATAAAAGTCTCCAGAAGCCTTGATTTCTTCCTCTTCTCAAAACATTTTAATTTAAATTTATCTACTTATTGTCAGTCTGTTAGTATGGGCTTTTAAAATTCAGTTTAAAAAAACATCTTAGAAGAAAAATGTAGTGTTTCTGTGCTTTTATTTCTTTTTAAATCTAATTTCATAGAATTTAAACAAACTAATTGCAAATTACTTTGAAAACTGGACTATTACTTTAAAATCAGTGTCTAATTTTGACATGTTCGAAATGCGACATTAATTGCTTCAACTCAAGTTGTATGTAATTTAAACACAAAGAAAGAGGTCATAATGATAGAAAAATGCTGAAAAGCTACTTGCTCCAAAAACGGGTAATACGTACTGAGGAAAATTAGATTTGCATTACCATTTTTGAGAGACTTTGGCTATTCTTGTAACTTGCAAAAATAAGATAACTGAAAAGGGTTACAAGCCTTTACTGACTTATCAGTGGAAGGTCCAAGTGAACTTCCCTGCAGAGACCAACCAGCTCAAACATGTTGCTACAGTTCAGCCAAGTAACACATGCTGACTACAGAGAAGTTCAAGTCTGCGGTCTATTCAATATCTGTTCTGATAGCCAGTATCACAGGACTCAGATTCCCTAATGAAGCAGATTTCTCCACCATGCAGTGCCATGGAAGATAACTCATC